TGATTTCTCTTAGATATCAACATTCTCAGTGAGTAATGTACTCACGCCTCGAATTTCCACTGACTCCTGCGACAGTGATGTATGCCATGTGCAATTTGCACGACGTTACATGGTATATCAACTCGTTTCGTAGCTCGAATTTCACATTAATAGCTTCTCTAGGGGTACCAAAGGTGATAACGGCGCCGTGAAGGACCTCGGCGGTGCCAAGAAGCTCAAGGACGCCAGCGGCAAGGAGGTCATGGAGGTGGAGCTACCGACCGAACGCGAGGACGTTGACCAGGTCTGGAATGCCTCGCGTCAGGCCCTCTCGCAGAGGCCTCCCGAAGAGAAAGAGCATCGCGACGCCGCCACCAAGCAGGCTGACCGCGACCGGAATAGCAGAACCAACGTCGTCCTCGCATGGGTCGGAACTAACATGTGCGTCTGCGACAAAATGCAAGCGTTCTTTACCTGTTGACTCGTCGACTTGCATTCAGGTTCATGATTCTCGTGTTTACTTCTACCGCATTCATCAACTGGGTCGACAAACACGTTGCGATCACCGACAACGCCACTTTCAATCCGTACCTCTCATTCCTGCTCTTTGCTATGTATGTACTTCTTCCGCCGGCGTTGTACTGACTGACTGAGCGGTGATACACAGGGCTGGTCTGTCCGCCGTGCGCTTCGTTGGCTCGACTATCTATCTGCTGCTTCGCCTAATAGGCTTCTAGCATCTCCGACATCTGACCACTTCTATATTATCATGATCGTTTTCCACTTTTGGTTCAGAGCCGGCTCTTTAGCATTCGTCGCTGCTGGAAAGCACGTGTAATTCTTACAGGACTGCATTTTGTGCAATTTACTTCTGCCTCATAAAGATGGCCAGCATACAACTATGCACGTTTGCGCGAAACTCCCACGCCACACCCAGCGGGGAGCAACATAGATTTTGTCCCAGCATTCTCCCCAGCTGACAATGACTATTGGGTCTTCTGCGTCGTCTCAAGATGAAGCATCGTCAACCTCGATGCCGAATAGTCTCAGTTGTACGTTCGCTGCGTTACAGTACAAACAACCCGTCCCACATCTCCAGTACGTACACTTTCGATAACATAACTCATCCAACAACTGGCTCTCAAGCTTTGCGAGCCATTAAATCTGCCATGTCTCTCAAATTAAAATTTGAGGCGAAAGCAATTAGAGTTTCGCCGGGCTCTTCCAGATTGGCTTCTTTTTCTACGGCAGAGTGAGCACCTTGTGGACCGAAAGACAAGGGGTCGTACCTCTGAGAAAGCTCTGAGTCCCGCCTGACATGCATGTTAGTGTGCCCGAGAAATATGCGAATTAGTAGCGTCCCTACCTTGAGATTCTCGCTCCCGTAAACACGAAGCATTTCCTTAGACCGAGTGTGCGCAACTACGACGTCTTCGAGGTCTCCAATTTGGTTGGATAGCATCAAAGCACGCTTGGTGGATTGAACAGAGTCTGGAGAGTTCCCTACGATCTCCTGCGCCCATTCCACAGCTGTCTTTAGGACATCCGCCTTAGGCACCACCTTGTTCACGCTATGGGCGATCAGAGTAATTTTTGCTTAAATAGCTACGACAACGTACAATCCAAACCGCGTGGCCGCTTCCTGCGCAGTGACCTGTCGGCCGAGCAGAAGCATCTCGGAGGCAAGCTGGTGCCCGGCTACCCGAGCAAGCCTAGGGATCACTGTGAGAGCGGAGGGTCAAGGGACAGCATGGGTCGAGCCTGATATGAGGACGTACCTCCCATGATTGCGACCACGCCGACCTTGACCTCGGGCGTGGCGAACACGGCGTCCTCGCTGGCGATGACAATGTCGCAATTGAGCACCATCTCCGTTCCTCCGCCGTACGAGCCGCCGTTCACGGCTGCAATTATCGGCTTGCACCACGACTGCCTGCGCGAGATGGAGCCGAAGCCGTTCCTGGCGAGTTCGGCATCTTTGCACTCGCTCTCAGGGGTCTTCTCGGAGTTGGCACGCTTGTTCCACCTGTGAACGCTACGCTCAGAGGGTCCCAAGGGTTAACAAGATTCGTGCTCACGCGATGAGGTCTGCACCCGCGCAGAAGGTGCGGCCTTCACCAGTAATGATAGAAACCCTGCAGGATCTCATTAGTGCGGCGCGAAGCGTAGAGCATGCGGCACACATACCAGATGCTAGGTTCCTCCTCTACCCAACTCAAGATCCTGTCAATGTCCGCATCCATAGTGGGCGTCATGGCATTCAGAGACTTCGGCCTGTTCAGCGTGAGCAGGAGGACATGCTCCGCCGGAAACGAGACCTTGATTCCTCCCGAGTACTGGGGGACCCGATATTGCATCTTGGCGGACAACAAAC